ATTATAATAAAATTTTGAATCAGAAAATGAAATGGGTGATCTTAAGACTCCCTTTTGACGAAATACGTAAATTTTCTCGGGATTAAATTTATTGTAGACGACCCATTCCATTTGGCACTGGGTGTGACGAATCATTCTATGTGACGAATAATAATTAACTAATACAATTAATTAGTAAATGCTTATTACTCACTTGAATAATTCGTCGTCACACCTCTGTGCCGAATGAATGGGGTCACCTATAATTGACTAAATCCAGGTCGTTAATTCAATGCAACTTATTTGAAAACAAATACGTACCCTATTTTAATCAAAATAAGATTTCTGCATTTTAGTTCTGAAACCCTTAAGGGGTTTCAGAGTTAACTTATTTTGAAAAAGTTGAAAATAAGTGAGTTTGAAATTTCGAAATCAGAAAATAAAAAAGGAGTTATTAATATAGATGCAGACTTATGACATCAATTAGTTACGTCCTATATAAAAATAGGTTTATAAATTAAGGCGCAATTGAGCCGTAACTAGTGACGTAAATAAGTCTGCAACTAAACAAACTTTTTTTGATAATGTATATTAGGAGAGCCCTAATTTCCCCACCACTTTGATTGGACGCAATAAATTGTCTCCGATTTGACAAAACAATTACGCCGCCGTTGAATAAAAAAAACATAATAAACAATTAATTGCAGCCAAAATTTTAATTTTTTAAATTTCAAAGCTTTACGAAAAAATTTAACTCAAACTTTTCGCCAAATCACTATTGTGAGAAAATTGAATTAAAATTTTCGCCAAATTATTTTCGTGAAACCAATTTATTGAACTTGTAAACTTTTTTTATATATCGAAAATTTCAAAACAAAACTAATAACGATTCAATTATGAACTTAAATTTTTAGTTATATACATTAATTTATTGAGAATGTAACTTAAATAAAATGTTTTTCTTATAGGATTGTTTTTAGTCTAAAAGTTAAGTATTTAGTGACTTTTTTTTTCGGGTTTACTAAAATGCACCTATGGTGTTTAACACCATAGGTCCCTATTTCTCAAAAACGTACTAAATAAACTGGATCAGATACTCTAAGTAAAAATGTTCAGAACCCCCCAAAAACCTCACAAAAACTAAAATTAGAACCTTATATCTAATATATATCATAAAAAAAAAAAAATTCATAAAAATGCACCCTAACCCTAAATTTTATTTAAACCAATTATATATGGTGTTAAACACCATAGGTGCATTTTATAATACAGTAATTGTTTTTTTACCTTGTTATAAATTTTATTTTAATGCATACAGTAGAGAAAATACTAACAGTTAACAGATCTTAAAAAAAAATAATTAAAAAAAGAGAAAATTAATACTTATTCTGTCTTATGATTTTTGCATTTGGTGAGACTCTTGACTCATTATTATCAGTAGTTCGAGGAACAAATTCTATTCGTGCAATTCTTGCATGTTCCATTTGGGTAACTTGCTAGAGAGCTATTCGAAGATTGTAAATATCCTCTCCTTCCATATTTTTCCATTCTGCAGAAATTGCATTAAGTTCTTCTTGCAATTTTACAAATTGCAAGTTCTTATCAGTTCTTTGATCTGTAAAAAGATTATGAGAAATTTGAGAATCAAAAAATCTAATTCCACAGGCTGATCATTCCCTATCCCTTAAAACCATCAGCAGTTAGCAGCTATATTTGGCTACTAAAATGTTAAAATTATTATTTCTGATATATTTTTATCAAAATTTAAAATATTTTAAAAAAATTTTGTATATTAATATTTAAAAATAAGGATTATAAAATAGTAATATTTATTTTTAAATTATAAGAAAAAAAAATAAAGTTGTCAATATAGTAAAAATTTTAAAAATCAATTTTTTTAAAAAAAATACAAAATTTTATCTTTATTCATTGACCAACTTTTTAAAATTCTAAGTATAAGTCCCATATAATTCTGATACAAATTAAAGAATTTGGTTTAAAAAATATCTTTAATTAGTAAAATTTTTATTAAAATTTTAAGTAAGTATAATAGCAAAGATTTTTTTTTAGAAACAAAAATATATAAAAATTTAAAAATTAATAAAAAAAATATTTTAAAAATTTAATAGTAAAATTATAGAATTAGCTATATTCAAACTAAATAACTTTAATACTATTTAAATTAAATTAAAAATTTTACTTAATAATATCTTAAATTTTTATTTTAGCTTAGAAATAGGGGGCATATACTTAATAAAATTTTATGTTATTGTAAAAATAAAAAAAAAGACATTCTAGTCTTTAGCTTCTAACAAAAGTTGTAGAGCTCATCAAAATGTATTTAATACTAAAAAGATATTAAAATTAGCCTGGTAGTTCTTGAGAAATCTTTAAAAACTTCTTTTTTATATAAAATTTCTTTAAAAACTTCTTTTTTATATAAAATTTCTTTAAAAAAATAAAATTTTTTAAAGAAATTATATATATAAAAAAGAAGTTTTTTGAAGATTTCTCAAGAACTACCAGGCCAATTTTAATATTCTTTCAGTATTAAATATATTTTGATAAACTCTACAACGTTTGTTAGAAGCCAAAGAGTGATTTACTTAGTATAAAAAATGTTTTAGATAGAGACACTGTGCATTTGCACTTATAGTAAAATTTATATATAAAAAAAATTTTTTGTCCAGATGACTGGTAGATCACCTATTAAATAAAAATTGTTTAACTTTATTTTTTTTATTTTTTATTTTTTTTGGTATTAAGGTGACCTCTATGGCCTAGGAGACTTTTTATTAAGTGAAAATTAACATTATATAGTTACAACGAGGATACATCAACCACACGTGCACCTTTTGAGTACCTAATTTAAGTAGTCCACCTGAAGGTTCTACACTATCTGCCATACCTGCACCCCAACTAGAGGAGTATCCATTTAAATCCTCTGGTTCCAACTGCCAGTTAATTCCACCTAACCTAGGTGTAACTCACTATTCGGAAATAGATTTTGCGACACCTTTAAATTTTGCACCCACCTTAGGACTTACTAACCTATATAGAGCTAGTCTATCCATGAGGTAAACCTAACAGAGTAGTCCATGTCCCACACATGTTTTTACCTGCATGTTCGGTAACTTTTTTCCAATTAGTACATATTGTTTGCTACCATTGTATTTGTATCTTATGCCATCTTTTGGGGTCGCCATAACACAATCCATATTTCAAGCCCAACCTTTCTAATTAGTTACCCATTATGTACTCCTTGCCCTTGTAAGGTTTACAACAACTCTAGTACCCGCATTTGGAACCATCTTCTTACCTGGATTCTTTATCGGTCCCTCCCTTACTTCCAGCTGGCAACCTGGATAGGTCAGTCTGCCCAGGCTTTAGGTGCCTGAAGAATGCCCTTCCCTTGGTCTATACTTTTGGAGCATATGCCCTTTTTTTCTAGTGCGACAACCCAGCAGTTTAGCTGGTGTATCCTCTGCCATTTTAGGACCTGGTTGCTCGGTTCTCTGATCTCGGGCACCAGTTCAAATTTAGCCCTCCTGTGGTACTGTTGAAGATCATTACTATATCCTAACTCGGGACTTGCCAAACAGGTTTTTGGTTATTCTGGTTCCTCAGATTTATTGCACCAAAGCCCTCATTACTAGATGATGTGACTGAGATTACAGATTAAGATCCAACCGATAATTAACAAACGTTAACCATAATGCAGATCTATTTTTCAAAATCATCATTTGTGGGATTCAAACTTTAGACCTGCCACTTGGAGAGAGTGACAACTAGACCACTACACTAAGTTGCCACACCTCAATTGTTTAACTTTATTAAAAATGCTAAATAATATTAATCAATAAAAAAAAAATTAATTAGACTTATATTTAAATAAAATTAAAATAAATAAAATTAAAATAAAATAAATACTGTATATTCCTAAAAATAAGCTACCATTTTTGGGCAAAAAATTACATGAAAATTTTAGGAATAGCTTATTTTCAGGTAATAGAGATTTTTTACCTTTTTGACTATTTTTTATTAAGAAAAAGTAGTTTATATATATTTAAGTCAAAATGGTACTATATAAATCAGTAAAAATAGCTTAATTAGAGTTGTTCAGAATAAAAAAATACAATATTCTAAAAGTTTCACACAATTTGGTAACTTTTTATTAGTACACTTTTGCATTTTAAATTTGAATTTAAAATGCAAAAATGTATTAATAAAAAGTTATCCAAATTGTATGAAACTTTTAAAATATATATATTTTTAAATTTCGAATAACTTTTATTAAGACCAAAATATATATTTACTTAGTACAATTTTGACTTTTATATATAACAACTGTTAAAAATTTTTGAAAAATTTAGAAGTAGCTTATTTTCAGATAAAAAAGAATTCTCACTTTTTTGCTCAAAAGTGAGAGAGTAGCTTATTTTTGGAGTAGTTTATTTTTGGAAATATATAGTAATTTGGTGCAGTTAGCATTGCCAATAGTAAGTTTTTATAAGATTATTAAAAAAGAGCCCAAATTTTTATCAACTATGTTATGTTATATTTCAAAATAACCTTTTATTTAAAAAAAACCCCCAAAAGGTAGAACTTTATTCTATTTAAAAAATCCATCTAAAAATCTCGATCATCAAATAATTATTCTAAATCGGCGCACTTGAGTACTACTTGAAATTTTTCTAGTTAATACTTTTAAAATGCTGCTTTTCCTCTTCTATACGTTTTTTTTAATTTTTTTTGTCCTTGTGCTTTTTGTCTTTATACTTTTTTAGCCTCACAGGCTATTTTTTTTTGGATAGCAACTTCTTTTTTGTATTGCTTTTCTTGGATCTTTTTTACTGCTTCTTCTTCTGCTCCTTTTAACTGTTACAAAGAGTTTTTATTCGTGAAAAGCTAGAAAAAAGGCATAGCTTTTTTTTTTTTTTTTTAGGTAGTTGTGTTTCACTTTGCCCTTCTTTAACTTCTAGATCTACAGAATTACAACACAGGAGATATTTAAATATCAGATGCAAAGAACTAGTGCTGGGATTTTGTAAAATTTCAAGTTCTTCTTGCAAGTACTCAACTTTTTTATTTAGAAGCTCAATTTCTGATATCAACTCTTTTTTAGTAGAGTTTGTTTTAGTAAAGTGTGGATGAATTGGAGCTGTTTTTAAAGATGAAACTATATTCGAAGACAAACTTGAAGAAGTTAAAGATGAAGTTAAAAAAGTTGAAGACAAAAAAGAAGATAGTAGTGACAAAGAAATAATAAGAATGAGGAAGTTGGCTGCTCAAGAATTTGTAAAATATCAGTTCTTTTTGTAGTTAATAAAGGTTTAAGAAGATCTGGGCTAATAGCATTTGGATTGAATGGCCATATGCTCCTAGCTCTAAAGGCATTACATATTGTAATAGGTGTATAGGTTGTATTATAAGCTGACTCTAGAACTTCAGCAAATATGTACTTGGTTACAAGTTTTCTATTATTTTTAATTCTGAACTTTTCACACTCTTTACTATAAATTATTTTAGTATAGCAAATAGTAATTCAGCTAGCTGCAAAATGTGAGTAGTATGAGGGGGAGCATATAAAGAAGTATGTTGTTTCTATAACAGAAGTTGACACTAATATAGTTTATATAACTCTTATAGCCATCTAAAATTAATAAAACAGAGTATACAAGTGAAATTGAACTAACAAAATATTCAATGTATTTTTGAAATAGGTACTCTCACATGTATTCTGTTTCAATATGCCCATGACAGAGCTAGCAGAGGTGCTATTTAAAAGACCTAGAATTATTCGTTTATCTTTAAAGATAAACAATGATGGGATATATGTTCCAGCTGCTAAGATAGTTAGAAATACAGAAATATGTTTATGGGAGTTGCCAAATAAAACCTAATGAACTTGACATACTCCTTTTCTGGCCAAAACTTTTTGAAAACTAGGTTTAATAACGAATCCTGTCTCATCTTAAAAGAAAAAAATCAAATACAAAAAAAAAACAAAACAAATCAAAAAAAAAAAAAAAGCAAGACCATGTTTCAAATTCAATCAGGAATAAGTAAATAATCTTGAATAATTTTTTCAAGCTTAGCAAAATAATCTCTAACAATAATAGGATTTGCTTTTTATATGCAGGCTTCATTTAGAGCTTGTAGAACACGAAATGAAAGCTCTGGATAGTCCTTCATGAAATGCTGCCACTATTTTTGGCTCAGACTATTTTTATTAAAAGAATTGGGCTACTTTCTTTTATGAACTATATCTATCACATACTGGTTTATACCAAATCTTGTTAATTTGAAGCCAAGCCTTTGTATGTTAAAACAGTAACCAACAAGCTGTTCTTCTTTATTGCTTGTTAGAACTTTAGTATGATCTGGAAAAAAAAGAGAACCATCATTTTTGATAGCATGTCTAAGAGTAGTTTCTGCTATACCATAATCATATACAATACTTTTAATACTTAAAGGTTTAAAATTATTTGATGAATCTTTAATTGCCTTAAGGGCATTAGTAATAGTATCGTGCCAGGCTTTATAGTCTTTATACTTTGTTATAGTTTGTTTAAAAAATTTGAAAATAAACTATTATTGTTGCTCTTCGCTCGCTATATAGCAGTAAAAAAGCTTTATTGTCTGAAGTGTAGCGAGGACTTTACAGTATTGTTATAGAGCAGATTTTGTGTATATTTATATTTGCTTTTATTTTTGGATTTGATGATCATCGTATTATTATTATTAGCCAATTAGTTTTTATTTTAAGCTAATAACATGATAAATCAATCTTGTTTATAAGTTATGTTGGCTTCGGACACCTAATAGTACCTGTTTCCTAGTTATAATTGTGTATAGCATTTTACAACTAATTACAAATAATATTACAATAAAATATTTAAAAATATTTAATAGACTAGTCTAAATATTGTATAAATTACACGATTTTTATTTTGCTAAATAGCTTTTATAGTCAAGCCTTGTGTTTTTAAGCACATAACAAAAGTTGGTAAAAATAAAATTTGTAAGACTTAAATTAATGAAAACCATGTCTAAAAATCATTTTGTAAAAGTAACCCAGATCAGAGCTGCAGAGGACACTTAAATATATTAATAATAATAAATACTGCACAATTATAATAATAAGATTGCCAAAATTAGTAAATATATTAAGCTTACCAATGCAATAATTTTACTCAATACAAAGTATTGATTTATTTAACAAAGAAAAATTAACTTTTATCACATTGCTTTCTCTTGTTAAAATTTTAAGTAAAGAGAATTTATCTAATATAACAATTCTTCAGGATTTATCAATTAGATTTACATGATTTCAGTACTATTTGAATCGTCTTATTGAGATGAATCAAATGGTACCGAAATTACATAAATCCAATTGGTAGATCTCAAGATATCTTAAACACATTGAATTAGACACCATGCCGAATTAGGCATACTTACTTTATATTTTTAAAATCAATATTTAAAGAGTTTGTCAAAAAATTATAAATTAATTTTTTAGTTTAAAAATTTCTTTAAAATTGTCTATTTTTAGTTTATAAGCAAACTAAA